GGCCGTTAAACTCCTGTAGTGAGAATCTGATGATGTCAAGGAAAAAGTGGTGCAGGGCCTTGGTGGCGTCCTTCAGGGTTTGGTAGAGGGAGCAGTTCTCTGCTTTGAACAAGGGTCTGAATTCCTTGGACAGTTGAGGCCCAGGCCTAGGGGACGGTTCTTGCATCAGGGGCCCTACAGTGAACTCGGTGACATTAGGATGCCTCTGGGCACCAAAGACAACGTTGACATGACTGAGCACAGGCTGTCTTCTTATTCCTTTATCTAGAAAATTCAGCCCATGCTTCTTGGACAGCAGCATCCCGATAAGGGACACAGAGCTCTTGGCCAAAGTTGGTGTCTTGGATGGCTTCAGCTCCACCCCCTGCCTGTTCATCAGGAAGCTGCACATAGCCCTCAATTCAAGTCCAACACCGAGTCCTTGCCATTGCGAGTCCACCCGGGGCTCTTTGCTTTGGCCATAAGCAAAATGGCAGTTCCCAAACCCAAGTGCCGAGCTCTTGCTATCTCTGTGGTTCTGGAACCCAGGAGAGGAGAGAAGAGGCTTAGTTCTTTCCCTCTGCAAGCCAGCACCTCAGAGTGCCTTGCCTCTGAATTTCATCACTCCCTTATTGAAATAGAGCTGGTCTCTGTGTTATCACTTATGATTTCCAGTGCTGTCCAGGCCCCTGTGTGAGCCTCTACCTGTTCCCTTCACTATCTGAAAATCTCTTACAGTGTTTCTTATACAGATAGACTCCCCTATTTTTGCCTCCCCCCATTTTTGGTGTTATCTCAGTGGGGGAACATTAGCCCGTGGCATCATAACTCACAACACTCCAAGGCTTGGTCCTCAAGGGCTACAAAATGTTCATATCCTGGTGTGGCAGAGTGCTGTATTGACAGCAAAATTACATTTCTGATGCAAAAAAATACCTTTTAATGGACACATTGAAACATTTAGACTGTATGCTCAAAGTGCAGGCTTTTGCATCAGGCTGCTTGGGTTTGAGTTTTGGTAAATGACATCACTAAGAACTAGTGACATCACCTTGGCCGCGATGCTTAAAGCTTCCGTTATCACAGCTGCGAAAGGGAAATGTCAGTGGAAGTACCACCTCCTGAGACCTGTTGAGAGAGTCAGCTGGACAGTACATATAAAGTATTCAGGACCAAGTTGGCCTTCCAGCAACATGGGATTGGTGACTTTGCTTCTCTTTAAAGTGCACTGTTTCTTTAAGGGACTGACGCTAGGCAGACCAAACAGGCTCCAGTGGATGAACTCACACTGAGGGACATCTGGGTACACGAACTTGACTCTGTAGGCCTTAACATATATGACAGAATGCATGAAGCCTTGTGGGTGGAGAGAGAGTGCAGATAGGGAAGGGGGGCTAAATATGATTAAGATGTATGAAATCCACAAAAATTCAATAAAATATATTAAAATGCTAAAGTGCACTGTGATAATACTGTTTGGATCCCCCGGTACTTCAAAGGGTTTTGAGCACTGCAGACTGGCTGGACTGAGTCCAAGTTATAAAGCAAGGATAGAGAGAGAGTCCTACCCTGCCCAGCCTTCTCTGGCCCACTGTGGGGTTCTCAAGTCAGGTCGCTTGCTCATCAAGCCTATAGGAGAGGCTTTGTCAGACCATTGCACATAATGACTTGGGAGACAGATGCCTTCTCCCTTTCCTATCTGGGGGCAGACACAGGAGTGTCTTTACCTCCTAACTCCCTCCAAGCCATCAGAAAATGTCTTTCCCCTTTCCATCAGCAATTTCTTAGGTGTAAAACCTCAGGGAGAGTTGCACCATCATGAGGCCCTTCTCTTCCATGACAGCCATCCACAACTACCTCTCCACAGGTCATCTGCTATCTACCCAGAGTGGCCTGGAGTGGTCTTCTGCCACTTACTCTGGGCTCTTGCACTTCCTGGTGTCTGTGTCTCCTCTTTTCCTGTCCCTCACATCAAGCCCTGTCTTCCTGTAAGTTCCAGTCTTTGTGAGCCTCGTTGGCATCTCTCGGAACACGCCCTTGGGCTCAGCTCTGGGTGCTTTGGCCCCTGCTCAGCATATGCATGCACAGCAGCAATCAGCCAGAGAGAGAGAGAGAGAGAGAGAGAGAGAGAGAGAGAGAGAGAACATGGAAGCCACTTCCGTCTGGTGTCTAACTTGACCTCTTGTGAACCCCCTGAAGGGTTTATCCAAGTCAATCACAGCCTTCCTTTCTTTGGCGAGGAAGAAAGGGGGAGGATTCATTTTACTGAGCTCCTGGTCTTGGCTGCCCCTGGCCTTCATGACTGTCTCGCCTGCTCCTGGTTCCTTGTTGGGGGTCTTGAGAGTTGCCTCAAGTGTCAGCTCTGTGCAGCCTGAGAATCGCAGAGTTGGAGGAACAGTGTGGGATTCCCCATTGGTTTGCTTGTTGTGTTTATTCTTTTCTATCCACACGCCCTGGGAGGAAAGCCATACTCTCCAGTTCTCCAGGATGCTCTAACCCATTTCCATACACCTTGGCTAACTACTGCTTCTGTTGAGCCCTGGAGCTTTTTCCTTCCTTTCCTGCCTCTCTGCTTTTTTTTGTGTTATGCATGTATGGACGTGTGTTTGTCTGTGTGTGTACATGAGTGTGTGCATACCCATGAACTTGGGCGTGTGCATCCCTGTGGAGCTAGAGGTCAATATTAGTGTGTCCATCACTCATTCTCCACCTTATCTTAATTGAATTTTTGTGATTTTCATACAGTAGTTTGATGGTATTTGATCTCCTCTCCTATACACACTTCCCCCAGTGCCCCCTGTACAATTTAATGTATTCTTATATATATGACACGGCCTATAGAGTTTGATTTATGTCCCCAAATGTCCTTCAGTGTAGGTCTATTCACTAGGCCCATCGGGAGTCCTATCCCTGTAAGATATTTTCTCTCCATCTCCCAGCAGCCATCAATTGCCAAAAGTTCCTTAGGTTGGGTTGGGCTTTCTTACCCACCTATGTCTACACATACCCACGTCTATGCTGGGATTTTGTCTGCTTTGAGCTTGCGTAGGACTTGTGCATGCTGTCACCATCGCTGTGAGTTCATATGAGTACCTGACCAGTTAGTTGTGTGGAAGACTGTCTCCTTGTGGTCGTTCACCTCCTCTGGTTCTTCTAGTCTTTCTGCCTCCTCTTCTGCAGTGCTCCCTGAGCCTTGGGAGGCAGAGGTTCGAACTAGGTGTCCTACGCAGGAATAAGCATTCGGCAGTCTCCTGTTCTCTGCACACTTTCCACCTTATTTCACTGATTCTGCTAGAGTGGCTGACCAGCTGGCTCCAGGGATCTGCCTGTCTCTACCCCAGTGCTGGGGTTCCCACTGTGTCCGGTTTTATGTGGATGTTGGGGACTTGCACTGAGGTCCTCAAGCATGTTACCGACTGAGCCATCTTCCCAGCCCCAGCTCTGGAAATGTCAGAGCCACATTTCTAATGGATCCATGGAAGAGGGGGTCTAATTTCTTGTTTCTTCAAGCTTTTCAAAGGCACCTATATGCCTTCCATCTTCTGTTCCTGGGGGAAATGAATTCTAGTCACCTCCTTCTTATACAAAGTTAGCGTAGTATGCGTACGGTTATTGCCGTCTTCATCTCCCGCTTGATGAATCCTGCAGGGTTTTCCTGATGCTCCACAGACTTTCCCCACTCACACACCTGTCACCATCCCTGGGCTCTGCACTTACTACAAATGGAAAGTCGGTTGTCTCCATACATTAGTTGTCATAGGCAATGCAATGACTCAGTACAAGCAAATGTGTTTTCCTTATGTTTTTTTAGTGAGATCTTGTGGGTAAACCTTAAACCCAGAATAAAATTTAATTTAAAAAATTTAATTTTTCTTTATTTTATTGAATTTTTGTGCATTTCATATAAAACATCTTAATCATATTTAGACACCCCATCCCCTGTCTTCACCCTCCCCATAGGATCTCATGCATTCTGTCATATATGTTAAGGCCTATCGAGTCAAGTTTGTTTTCCAGATGTCCCTCAGTGTGAGTTCATCCACTGGAGTCAGTTCAGCCTGTCTAGCATCACTCCCTTAAAGATCAGCTCTCCCTCACCCAGCAGTGATCAGCTGCCAATAGTCCCTCAGCTAAGGTTGGGGCTTCTTGCCCATTTCCCTAGTTCTATGCTGTTTTTTTTATGGTCTAGGTTGTTTGGCTTGATCTTGTGCTACTGTCAATATTGTCGTAAGTTCATATGAGCAAGTCCTCAGAAGCCTGGAAAACTGTTTTCTCATGGCCCTCAGCTAAGGTTGGGGCTTCTTGCCCATTTCCCTAGTTCTATGCTGTTCTTTTTATGGTCTGGGTTGTTTGGCTTGATCTTGTGCTACTGTCAATATTGTTGTAAGTTCATATGAGCAAGTCCTCAGAAGCCTGGAAAACTGTTTTCTCATGATCATCCACCACCCCTGGCTCTTATAGTCCTTTGGCCCCATAGTCCATGATGGTCCCTGAGCCCTGCGTTGCAGAGGTTTAATATAGGAGTCCTATCCAGGGCCATACACCCTGCAGTCTCTTATTCTCTACATTATGGCCAGTTGTAGCTTTCTGTGGTAATCGCCATCTGTTGCATGAGGCGGCCTCAATGAGAGCGGAGAGATGCATCAGTCTATTGGTATAACAATAAATCATTAATTTATAATAAGTATAATTAATTTTTAAAAATGATCAAATTTTAAAGATTTCTTCATAGCAGCTCCCTCGTGCAAGGCCGGCCTTAAGGTGGGTCAGTTCTCACAGTCTTCCTGATAGAGAGCTCAAAGCCTTCAACACTGAAAAGCCCACCTGATAGAGAATTCCAGGGTCTCTGTGGACTTCCTTTGCCTGGGTCAGGGAGGTCTTTTCAGGTGCCGCAGACAGACATGAATGGAGCCCAGGACCACACGTCTGTGTATGTGGTCCATACCCGCCCCTGCCTCTAAGAAGCAGCATCTAAGGATAGAAACTAAAGGATTTATTGTTGGCGCTGTGGGGTTCTGGGGTTATTGGGCAGGAGTCAGGACTGTAGGTCCCAGTGCAGCCGATTGGAGGAACTGTCAGTCAAACTCTGTCTCCTGGGATGTGTTTTCTGACATAGCTGTAACCACTGTACCTGGTTGTCTCTGGATGCCATGGAAGAAGTTGAAGGGCTGGAGCACAAAGCCCACAGAGTTCCCAGGTGTGGCCGTGTTGGGGACATCCTCAGAATGGGGGGAGTGCTGGAAGCCCACTGTCACCCAGGCCACCAAATCCTAGGGGAGAGGCAAAGGCTTCAGCGGGTAGGGCAGTGCTGAGTACCAGCCATCTGAGGGTACTCTGCCTTGGGGTACTTCAGATGTGTGTACATACTTCCTGAGATATATTCAGTTCCATTTGAAAGAAGTGGGCTGTTCTAGTTTGCTTTTTGTTGCTGTGCTAAAACACTGACCTAAACCAACTCAGGTAGGAAAGGGTTTATTTCATCTTACAACTCCCAGGTCACACTTCATCACTGAAGGGAGCCAAAGAAGGAACCTGGAGGCAGGAACTGAAGCAGAGACCATGGTGGAATGCTGCTTACTGGCTTGCTCCCCCTTGATTTGCTCTGTGACTTTTCTTCTATTACTCAGACCTATCTTCCCAGGGACGGCACTGCCCACAGTGGGCTGGGCCCTCCTACATCAATTGGCAATCAAGAAAATGCCCCTCAGACATGCCCACAGACCAATCTGATGGAGGGAGTTCCTCAACTGGTGTGTCTGTGTTTGTGTCAAGTTAACAGGAAATAACTAGCACATAAGCTTACCTGTCATGACCTCTGGACTTGCACAACACCCCAAAAAACACAACTGTGGGACCAGGGACAGGTCCAGGTAGAGGCTGGGTAGGGGGAGAGGGGCAGTACCTTATTTTCAATATGTTCATTGTTCTGAATGAAATCCTCAAAGACCACGGGGGGATCCCAGGGGTCGTCCCGGTTGTAGATACTGCTGCTGCTCAGCTCAGACTCCTGGTACGTGGTCACTGCCAGGGGGTACCTGCAAGTAGAGAAGAAGCCAGGCAGTTGTGGACATTGAGACTGCATCTGAGCCCTTCCCAGAGAACATGCCTGGGGCCAAGGATAGGGAAGTTGCTCTTTTCCCACAACAAACGTTTGTAGCCTAGAGGTCTGAAAGACTGCCTATCACCACATGAAGACCAGGGTCCCTGTAAGCACTTCTACTCCCTCACCTGACTGTGTGAGGGAGCACAGCCAGATGCAGACACAGATAGAGACAGAGACCCTCCTGGACAAATGCTCAGAGAGAAAAGGGAGGGGAGCCCTGGTTGTATTTCCCAACCTCCCTGAGTTTCCTCACCTGGCCCAGGTGATACCCTGATCCTCCTGCCAGACTGGCAGTTGCTCCTGCTTAATCTTAGAGTGGATCTGCAGGTGGTAGCTGTGCCTGTGGCCCCAGAGGTTCTTTTGAGGGCTGCTAAAGACCAGGTACTTGGGAAGTGTCCTTTCAAAGTCAAAGGCTGCCTGGTACTCGTGGGTGTAATTTATCTGGTTGATGTGTTCCCTCCCAATCTGCAGTGTCTGGAAGCTGTTTGTGGTGCCTAGAGGCATGAGAAGAGAAGAGAGGTGGGAATTAATAGTTGGAATAGAAACCTTTTCCCTGGGCCCTGGGGTCGCCAACCTAGGCATTATCCACAGACAGCTGCCAAGAAGCAATGCCAGGGGCAGATACTGGGATAACAGTGTGAGCTGGAAGGCTAAGCGAGCCAGAACCAGAGGACTTGGAGGACAGCTCTCGGGTCAGTCATGACAACTATGGCAGTTTCGGTATGATCCTACGCTGTTCTCTGGAGAGCTTTCAGCCAGTTTGCTGTATTTTTAACCACGTGGAAGGGGAAGCCTATTTTTCTGCATGCCTGAGGACAATCTATACTCTGGGCTAGAGAATCGAGCTGGAGTGAACAGGTGGAAAATACCCATCTGGTCCTGGTGGCCTTGTTCACTTATGGGATTGGACATGAAGCATCACACCCCTGCCATTTTTCTGTGGTGACGTTATTTACCCAAGAAACACATTGAACACCCCCAGGTGACATTTCAGTCCATCTAAAGTGCTAGATAGTGGCACTGCTTAACCTCCATAGAACTTCCTTTTTCCCCACCCATGAAATATTAGACTCAGCCCCAATAAGGCCTTATATTTAGGGCCACCCTAGGGTACCGTTCACTGCTACCATTTTCAGGGGCACACGATATTTCTGTTTGCAGGGAAGGTGGCTGAAATAATCTCCTATCATGTCAGGGAGTCTCCTGCAGAGTGAAGTTGTTGGTAGGAAACAGTAGAGTGACTGAGAGGGTGTGGTCCTGAGTCCTACCGGCTATATCCAGGTCAATGCGGTAATGTACTAGGTGGGTGTGGATGTCTCCAAATAGGTGGCTGTGCAGATGAGAGTTGTGGCTCATCTCCTCAGATGTGTAGAAGGTGGAATGCACAGAGCCAGTGGCATGCATCTTGCTCTCCATCACCCCATTAGGGTAGAAGATGAAGTCCCAAATGTAATCATAGTTGTAGACTGTTGAGGTCGTCCGCAGCACCAGTATATGGCTCTTCGGCCTTGCATCAGAGTTGAAGTTACCACTAAAGTTGGAGTTAAAGTGGGTTGGAAGGGGCATTCCTGTGGGCATCTCAAAGAGGCAGAGAGCTCGTGGGTAGGAGACAGGCTCATCGGTGTCATAGTAGTGAATGGCGTCCAGGAAGGTGGCTGTGTCTGGACAGTCGATGCCAGGGGATAGCTCACGAGTGACCCTGCCCAGGGCCCAGTCCACATCCCTGTACTTAGTCTGCATGCCTACAGGTGTGTGTCCTCCATACAGTGCCACAGCCTCCTGTACGCTGACCTCATATGCTATGCTCTTGTTCTTGAAATGCGCGTTCAGGATCTGCAGCCCAGAAGAGATCCGCAGCAAGAAGGAGAAGCTCCACTTTCCATAGATCACAGTATTGTCTTCTAGGCTGTAACTGGGAAGGTGGGACTGGACCACATGGGGGCCAGCCTCGTTGATGGGGGTGGGGAATTTGCCTTGGGGCTCGGAGGAAGGGGAGAGCAGTGGCTCTTCTTGGCTGCTGGGCAGTGGGTCCTGGAGGACTACTATGCTCACTTCTCCCTCTGCATATTTCTGAGCCAGATCCTCTGAGCTGTTGTAGAACCTGCCATTATACCAGACCTGAACCACTCTCCAATCCTGGACATTTGTGCTCCCATGATCCACAAGGACCTCCAACCCAGTGGGTTGCAGGAAGTGACCTTCCATATAACGCTGCAAAATAAACCAGCTACGACGCTGGCCAGACACCAATCCATGAGGGGCCACATATGTGAAGGTCAGGCACCGGCCATTACAGTCCTCTAGTGAGTAATCGGTGATGTCAAGGAAAAACTGGTGCAGGGGCTTGGTGGCCTCCTTCAGGGTTTGGTAGAGGAGGCTGTACTCTGCTTTGGACATGGGTCTGGATGCCCACAATGGATGTTGTCCAGGCCCAGAGGACAGTTCACGCATGTAGAAGGGCCACGGCAGGGGCCCCACGGCAAACTCTGTGACATTGGGATGCTTCTGGGCACCAAAGAAGATGACCACACGAGCTTCCCGCACAGGACAGTCTGCTTCTTCAACCAGAAAATCCAGCACATCCTTCTTCCTGGGCAGCAGCAGTTCGATGAGGAACACGGAGTTCTTGGCCAAAGTTGGTGTCTTGGATGGCTGCAGGTCCAGCTCCTTCCTGTTCATAAGGAAGCTGTGCACTGCCTTCAGCTCATAAGCACTCAGGTCCCAGAACACTCGGGGCTTGCCATTCAGGGTCCACGCGGGGCGCTCTGCCATGGCCACCTGTAGCACCAAGATGGCGGTCACCCATCCAAGTTCCAGGTGTCTCTGTGCCAGCCCCATGGCTTCAGAAGGCAGCAGAGGAGAGGATGTAGGTATTTCTCTCTCCAAGCTAGTACCTTAGAGCGTCTCGTCTTACCAACCGAGCTTTCTCCCTTTGCTTAGGTGGAGCCGGAGCTGGAGTCTGAGTGTTTATCCACAGTTGTCAGTGCTGTCCAGGCATCTGCCTGTCGCCTCTGTCCCCTGCGACTCTCTTATACACTTCCTTATCTAGATAAACTCTCATGTTTTCCACTGTTTTGGTCTTATCTCAGTGGGGGAACATTCAGCAGCTAAAGTCACCGTGAGTCACGGCAGCATGAGGCTTGGTCCTCACAGGCTATTGCTCATGTCCCAATGGGGCAGAGGGCTTTACTGACAGCAAAACTACCCTTCTAATAAAATAAATGGACTCTTAAGAAGATTCATTTTGAAATTTAGTATAGCTATTGAGAAAGTTGCAGGCTCTGGGGTCACGTCCTGGTAAATCATAACACTAAGGACAGTTGTCAACTGCTGTGTGGGTGCTGGGAATCAAACCCTGGTCCTCTGCAAGAGCAGCCAGTGCTCTTAACCACTGAGGCACCTCTCCAGCCCCTCTTTGGGTAACTTCTTGCTCTGGAACTCTTTTTTCTTTTTCTTTCCATCATTTTTTTTAGGGTATAGTATATGTGTGGATATATTTTCTTGTGTGTGTGTGCATGTGTGTGTTCTGGTGTCCATCCATACGTGTGTATGGGCATGTACATGTGTGTGGAGGGCAGAGGTGTATGAAAAAACAATGTTCTTCTCCATTGTTATCCACCTTGGCCATGTTGTCTAAACTCTCTAGGCCTCCATTGTCTCACCTGTGAAATGGACATGACAGCAGCATGCACGGCCCTAAGTTGTGAAGAGAAAAACAAGCTCATAGAAAGCACAGAGTGTATGGGAGACAATGTCTGCCTTCCAGGGACCCAGGGATTGCTGACTTTGCCTCTCTTTAAAGTGAACCCTGATGATACAGACTACATCCCAGCACATAAAAGTTACTGAGCACTGCAGACCTGAGTCTAGGCTGTGAAGGAAGGATGGGGGAGCATTGCTCTGCCCAGCTTTATTTGGCATCCCAGTGGGGTACTCAAGTTGGGATTTCTTTACCATTTCATCTTTAGGAGCGCCTGTCAGGTCATCTCAGGTGGTGAGTCAAACAGATGGAGTTCTCCCTTCCCATTTAGGGAATGCAGGGCTTTTCAGCTCCCAGCTCTCTCCTCAAGCTATAGCAAAGTACAGAGCTGGAAGGCCTGAGTGGCTATCACTCTGTCTTCCCTTTTACCTGGGGGTGGAGCTGCCTGCCAGGACGTGCTGTGTGCAGAGTCCCAGGGAAACCTTTGCTCTTACATACATGCTGTAAGTTGACAGTGTCACCAGCCCTGATTTCTCAACATCCTAACTTGACTTTGATGTTTCTGGGCCCTGCAGAAATGCCTTCCTCATGCCATTTCATTACAGAGGAACTTCCCTGCACCTGTCAGTGATGCTAGAACGCTCTGTCTGACTGTGGAGTCCCACTCAAGGGTCCCTTTATCCTCTGGTTGCATTCCTCCACGTGCTGAGTAGCACTACTGAACTACTGGGATACCCCACTGCTGCCCAGAAATTGATGTGCATACCAGGCTTTATACTTGGCATACAGTCTGAGCACAAAGGCATGGAATGTCATATATCAGCTACCCTCGCGTTAGGGCGTTTTCCCCCCCCCCCCCCCCCCCCCGTCCCACGAGCTCTCCTTGCTCCTCGCTCCCTCCCTTTCAATCTCTGCTAACCACTGAACTTTCACTGTATTTCCAGAGGCCAGGCTGGGCTTCTACAGCAGGCAGTGTACGTTTCTGTTGCCTTTGTCTTTCATGGCTGGTCTCCAGTTGTTTTAATGCTTATACTCAAAGAGAGCCGTCCAGTGACTCCATTTTGTTCTAGCTGACTTCAATCTGTGCTTCGCCCAACTATGTCCCCCCCCCATCTCTCCTGTTGACCACATCCTGCTGGGTAGGACATGCTCATCCAGCTGCACCTGCAGCTCTAGGAGGTCTTTTATTTCTGCAGTCCTGAGAAACTTGTTTCGCCAAACTGAAACTTTGTTACCTGACCTTCCCCTGATAAGATGTAATTGTGAGTTTTGATCTTGTAAACCCTACCCTGCCTCTCTTCAGGGCTGAGAGTTCTTTTGGGTGTGAGCCTGCTTTTGACCACTGGCAATAAAGGACTCTTAATTCAACCGTCCCTGTGTAGCATTCCCCTGTGACTCATGTTGGGTATAACAAAATGCCTTTCTGCTTTGTCCTAAAGGAGATGTGGAAGAGAGGTATATAATCCTATCTTCTGAAGTAATGTGGGCAGCAGAGAGGGTGTGTGTGAGGGGTTGGGGGTCACAATGGCAGTGGAGCCATAGAGGGCAAGGGAGAACTTGGCAGCTAGTGACCCTCCCTGTTGCAGGTCAGAGGCAGGCTCATTCTCTAGAATCCATGTCCTTGTGGGGGCCCTCTGTCATCCCAGAGTTCCCTGGAGGGTTTTCTTGCCATGTGTTCTGGGCTCTCATACTTCCTGGCTTCTGTGTTTTCCTCTCTTCTATCCTATGGGCTCTCTTCTAGGTCTTAACCCTTCCCTGCCAGCCTCATCTGTGTCCCATCAGAACACGCTATGAGTTCTGCTCTCACTCAACAAGTTCCTTCGTGCATACACAGCACGATTAGACAGCTGAGAAAGAACAATGAATAAAGTGAGGGGCAGCTTTCTCTCCTCAAACTACACTGAACAAGGTAGGTGTGGAAAGATTCACACGCACGCACACACGCGCGCACACACACGCGCACGCACGCACACACGTGTGCACACGGCACAATGTCCACAGGAGCCATTTGTCAGTTTTTTCTAATTCACTCTCTTTTGAGCGCCCCTAAAATGTTTATCTAATCCAATCACAGCCTGCCTTTCTTTGTGGAAGAGGAAGATGTGATCTATTTTATTGAACCCTTGGCTGCCCCTAGGCTTTCATGGCTGTCTCTCCTGCTCCTGGCTCTTTGCCCTGGCTCTGAGACTTGGCATGGGAGACAGAGGTGTGTAGTCTGGGAGCCATAGTGCTGGAGGAACAGTGTGAGGTTCCCCATCTATTTGCCTTTCTGCTTTTCTCTGTCCATAGGCTCAGGCGAGGGAATGCCACACCCATTTATCTATTTATTTATTTTATGTGTATGAGTGTATTGCCTACATGTATGTGAGTGCACCCATGTCATGCAATGCTGCAAAGGTCAGAAGAGGGCTTCGGGTTCCCCTGGAACTGGAGTTAAGGACGGTTTGTAGCCGCCATGTGGATGCTGGGACTCGAACCCGGGTCCTCTGCAAGAGCAACCAGTGCTCTTAGCCACTGAGCCATCTCTCCAGCCCCTCTTTGGGTAACTTCTTGCTCTGGAACTCTTTATTCTTTTTCTTTCCATCATTCTTTTTGAGGGATGTAGTATATGTGTGGATATGTTTCCTTGTGTGTGTGTGCATATGCGTGTCCTGGTGCTCATGCATATGTGTGTGTGTGTGTGTGTGTGTGTGTATACGTGTGTGTGGAAGGCAGAGGTGGACATTGTATGTTTTTCTCCATCTTATGTTTTTGAGACAGGGTCTCTTACTGAACCTCACTGAGCACTCCTGCTAGATTGGCTGGCTAGGGAGCTGTAGGGATGTATGTCTTGACCCTCTGACACCAGTACTGGGGTTATAGACATGTGCTGCTGTGATCAAGCTTATCTGGGTGCTGGGGATCTGAACTCAGGTTCTCATGTTTGCATGACAAGCACGTTACAGACTGAGAGATCATGCCAGCCCCAGCTCTGGATGGAGTTCTTCTGGGCTGTGCTCCTAATGGAGACACAAGAGGAAAGTCCATTGCCTTGTCCTTTCCAGCTTTTTGAGGCACCTCTGTGCCTTCCATCTTCCATTCCTACAAAAGGGTCTTTAGTCTCCCCTATTCTGAAACAAGCATAGCATCCCATTCGAGTTATTAGTGTCCTTTTCTTTTCCTCCTAGATATCTCCTCAGGGTGTTTCCTGTAGTGCACAGTCTGTTTCCTTCACATACTTTATCCCCTGGGACCACAGTGCAGCTATGCCTTAGTTTATGGAACTGCTCTTCCCCGCAGATGGAGAGTTGATTGCCTCTATGTTTTCATTGCTACAGACCACAATGAAT